GTAGTACCGTGAACGACACCGTCTTCTCCTGTCCGCCGACTTCTTCCCCCTCCGAAAACCCCGTACTGCTTGTCGTACCAAAAAATGCTTTGTCTTCCCACCCATTAAACTTAAACAAAAAGGCCAAGGCTTACATATGTCTGTCCACCATGGCTGGCGATGCCCGTTTAGCAAACAAACGACCGTAACCACAAAACCACGTCCAACCGATGACCTGCCGAAAAATCACCACCTACATGCTCTACTGTTTCCTCCCACTCCTTCCAAGCCTTAACATAAGATGACCAAGTGCCCGGCGCCAATGAATTCCTTATATATTCCCCAAGCACGACGTCCCGAGTTGCCACATCTCGTCCGGGTAGGCCTGCCCTTGCTCCCGTGCGTCCTGTGCTGCTTCCCGAAAACGTTCTCACTGAAAACGAGAGAGCGCATCAGCCACTACATTTGAAATTCCCGGGATGTGCCTAGCCTTGAATACTAAATTGAAAAACATGCAGAGAAGTACCAACTGCCATAGTAAGTATAAGACCAGGAGGGAAGATGCCGACAAACTGTTGATTGCCTGCACCACAGCCATGTTGTCCGAATAGAACACGACTTGTTTGTTCGCCAACTCCGACCCCCACAATGCCACCGCAACCACTACAGGGAATAATTCCAAAAACGCCAGATTTTCGATCAACTCGCTCGCTTTCCACGCCTCTGGCCATGCCTCGGCGCACCATTTTTATGACAAATATGCCCCAAACCTGACGCTGCCAGAAGCGTCTGTAAACAGCCCTACGGTTTCTGAAGACACTGCCTCCTCCCGGGAAAAACACCCTGCCATTGAAGTCCTGTAGAAACCGATCCCACACCGCTAAGTCCGCCCTCATGTCCGCCGAAACCCTGATGTAATGTGACGGCACCTGCACCCTGCTCTTTGCTCGTGCCAACCGTCTGCAGAAAACCCTCCCCATGGGTATAACCCTGCACGCAAAGTTAAGGCTCCCCACCAAAGACTGTAGCCCCCGTAGCGTCACTTTTTTTTAGCCCTCCCGACTGTGGCTACATATTCTGCAATTTGTCCAAAGGTAATCTACATTCCCCTTTTTCGTAATCCATTTCTAAACCCAAAAAGCTGAGGCACTTGGTGGGCCCCACGGTCTTGTCCTCAGCCAAGGGAACCCCTAGAGACTGCGCTACCGATTGGAATATCTCCAATATCTGTTTGCACCGGTCCGATTCCCATGGGCCGACGCATATAAAATCGTCTAGGTAGTGCACTACCGCGCCCCCCGCTGATTCCTGCCGTACTAACCATTCCAAAAATGTGCTAAACTATTCAAAATAGGCGCATGATATGGAAGCACAGGTCCACGAAGAACCCCCCATCAAAGCAACACCCCAGTAGGTAATGACACTTCGGGTGTATGGGAAGCAGCCGGAAAGCTGCTTCCACATCTACCTTTGCCATCAACGCCCCTTGCCCCGTTCTCCGAACCAACTAGACTGCTTTGTTGAATGATGTATAGGATACTGAGCATAGGGCCGCGTCGATGTAATCATTTACCGAGGCCCCTTTAGGGTACGATAAGTGATGTATCAACCTGAACTTACCCCGCCTCCTTTTTGGGGACCACCTCGAGCGGTGATATCCGCAAATCTGCTAATGGTGGGTACGGGAACAGGCCCGCCATCCTCCCCAGTTGGACTTCCTTGTTTAGCATTTCCTGCACCACCCCCGGGTGTTCCCGAACGGACTTAAGGTTAGCGCACATCGCACCCGGTTCCTTACCTATAAACGGGATCGTAAAGCCCTCCCTAAACCCCTGCCATAAGAATCTCACATCGTCCTGGTTAGCGTATTGCCTTAGCCAAGGCAACATCGCGCCCATTTTCACTGGGGACGCCCCCAGCTACAGTAGCGAGGGCTGTTGCCCCTGCGGTTCCCCCACCAACATTAGGCTTACATTTTTTTGAAGCATCTGCTGGCACCGTGATTCCCCTTGCAACCCGAACACTCGTGCCGAAATCTGCATGAATTTCCTCTCTTGTATTGGCCTTCGTTATACATCCAACAGAAGCCCTTCTTTTGTCGCGCCGGCACAGCACCCCCTGTGGCCATGCTGGCTGACCCAGGAAAGGGCACAGCTTTCTGCGCCATCAAAAGCCTCATCCATAGCGGCAAGTCCATTTGGTCCCACCGCATGCTAGTGTTAGCTGCTAAGCGTTGACGAAACTGCTCATCATATCTCCACCATGCCAAACCCCCATATGTCCAATACGAATCCCTTATCCCATCCAAGTAGCAGAAAAGCTGCGAACAGCACCCTGGGCTCTTTTCCCCGATTACGCTAGCTAGGATACAAAATGCCCTCAGCCAATTCCCAAAGGGCTTCGGTATCTTACGATACCTCTGCCTTTTCTCCTCTTCCTCCTTCTTGGCATCTTTCTTGTACTCTTCCTTTAAGTCCAAGAATTTCTCTAGGGGAAGCAGGGAAAAATATTTCCACGAACTCCCCTTTCCACATTTTTTCTTTTATGTCTGACTTTAATTGTTAACCCAGGGGGCCAACGAAGGACACGTGTACGTTTTGATGTGCCGCATCTGGGATATTGCCACACCCGACCGCCTGCTCATCCCCCCCTTCGGCCGTCCCGGACGACGCTGCCGATTCACCTGTCTTGCCACCGCGTGTCCCTTGCGCCAACGCCCCTGTTGACCTAACCGCCTTGTCTGGAGACCATACCCTCCCGAACCGCAGTGGTGACTCCCCCTCCCCATGACTCCAAAAGTGTTTTTAGATAGCCTAGCAATTGCCCAGAGTGTTGTGTAGACATGGACTCACCGCTGGAGACCCCGGCCGCGCCAGGCAGGGTCGCTGACCTTCCGTCCACCTTTTCAGGCACCGGAGTATCCCGTTGACGCCGACTCCTATCCGCCTGATCCCACCTCAGGACCGTAGGGGTATTGCTCCCTGACCTGCAGGGAGAAGATAACCTGGTTAGTCTGTTCAACTGGGTCCCTACCCGCCCTTCCTCCCTACGCTCCTTTCTGCTGCCCCAACCTTCGCTCCGCCGTGCTGGCCTTCTTTCCCTGCTCCTTGCGGTACGCGGCCATCCCTGTGAACTTCTGCCCGGTGACCCAGATGCACTACGCCGACTCCTCATCCTCCTGTCTTTAGAACTGGACCTCGAACCGCTGCACCTGCTGTGTGATGGGCTCCTGTCCGTGCTCCACTGCCTCTCTGCCATCCTCCTGACGCTGCTGTCCCTTGCGCTATCACTGCACCGCTCACTTCTGCAATCCCTCCTGCCCGCATTCCTGCTTCTTTGCCATCCATGAGAGCAGCATGAGGGGCCCTCCCGCCCTTCCTGTGCTGCACCCAGTGTCTCTCCCCTGTCCGCTGCGCTTGGCCTGCCTCTGGCTGCCTCGGCTCTCAATGGTTCCTCCTGCCCCCCCCCGGCAACTTGCATTAACACCCGCCGCCCTTTGCATGTACTTGGTCCCCTTGCCTCGGTTTTCTGTCACCTTCTGGCAATATCTCTATTCCTGGCCACTTCCATGGCTGCCTCCGTACTTGCCCTGCTGACCCCCTGTCCCTCAGTATTGTCCCTGGTAATGGACTCAACGGGACGCCGCACGATTCCACTTCATCCACGTGGTCCGCCGCCTTCCCGGCCGCCATCCCAGTCGTGCAGGATTCCGCCTCATGCACCGGTTTACCGCCGGCCTCCATCTTGCGGTGGGTGCTCTTTGCTGCTTGCCCCCGCTTTACGGCCCCGACCGGCGCCGCGTTGAACAGACGGCGTCGGTCGCACTTTGTTGTTCCATGGGCTTCATTCAGATCTAATTTTTATTGGGCAAAATTTATTGTTTCTGTTGTTTTTTTGTTTTGTGTTTTCAATCTGTTGCTTCTTTTGCACCCTAGCCATAATTTAATTTGCACTTGGTCAGCCCAGTCTCACTAGCATATGCCACAGTCTCTGCACCAGTCTACTATCAGGGCTGGACTGGTGCAGAGCCTTGAATTTATTTTTCATGCAAGCCCCGTTTTACAGCTTTTCACATACAATACAGATTTACAGGTGTACATAAATTAAAATAGAAAGTTATATGCAGCACACTCAAAGGACTTCAAATAAACCAAACCACTGCTTTATTGCAGATATGCGACCGTATGCAGTCAATGTTTCAGCCCCATTACTTTGGTGCTGGATAATGGGACAGAAATATCTGAAATGTTGATTGTATGAATGTATTATAATTGTATATTGCTTTTGCTAACTGCTCTGGCTGTTTAAAAGGAAAATTGCCTAATGGCACACACTTTCAATGACTCACACATATATACACATGTACTCTTACACATGTATATAAACACATAGTTATTTACATATGTAAGAGTACATGTATTATAGAGAGAGAGACTAGTGCACAGTCTCTATTTGTATGGCTGGCTGCTCCTGGCATCCTTTCATAGTATATCGTGCAAGGCATTGCAAGGGAGCAGATGTCCGTGTCTGCTCCCTCTCAATCTCTGAATCCCCACCAGTACCTGTATTTGCTTCCTCCCTCCTACTGGTACCAGCCATATGTGCTCTATTCATGCCCTCTCTTCTGTTCCCCTGTGCTGCTGTCTGAAAGCTGGGAGGAACTGAAGTTTAATCACTAACCCCCAGCACATCGGGCACATGGGGGAACAGCTCAGCCAACTATGTGGCACCAGCTTTTTTTTTGTGAGACAGAAGTCCAAAACATGGGACTGACCCAACAAAATTGGGACAGTTGGCAGCAATGCAGACGTGGTACTGCTTTTTGTTGCAGTGGGACTACTTCAGGCAGTCCGCAATCAGTAAATTGTAGATCACCTCTCTGCAATAACTGAAAGACCCAATAAAGCATAAAGAAATACAACCTGCTGATGTCATGTAGGTGTTTATATCCCATGTATGAAAGGGTCTTCAAACAGGAGGACAGAGTGTGCTGCTGGGCCCCCTCTTCAATGTACAGGTAGCAAGGGGCACTCTGTGTGTGTGTGTGTGTGTGTATCTATCTATCTATAGATAGATAGATACACACACACACACACACACACACACAGAGTGCCCCTTGCTACCTGTACATTGAAGAGGGGGCCCAGCAGCACACTCTGTCCTCCTGTTTGAAGACCCTTTCATACATGGGATATAAACACCTACATGACATATATTATCTATCTCTATCTCTATATGTGCACATAAGGAATGTGGGGCTCGGACTGCCAGAGTAGTTCAGGACCGCCGGGCCCATGACAACCATTATGGTTGTCATGCCCTGATGGCAGCCCTTGGTATGAGTCAGAATACTTGTGTAGACAGATATGTGGTAGGTTTCTAAATTTGCTTTTAAGGTAGAAAATGCACATTCAGAGTTCACATCCTGACACCATTACATGATGGAAGTAGGAAAATGCAAGGGCGATGAATTATCTATAATGATGTAACACATTAAGCATGTTTCAGTTCACATATTTGGAAATTAATCTGTTTCCTCGCTTTAGTACATTAATAACTTGCAACACACATTATTTATCTATTCAAGTTTGACTTCCCAACATGATGGTAGCCAAATAATCTCATTTCCTGGATGACCCTTTTATCGTTACCTAACCCTCCTATTCTCACTATATTACCACCTTGTTTAATCTAATTGTTGTTCATTTGATCGGTTCATGAGTAAGTCCAAAGAATCATGTTCCTTTCATGCACCATGTCCGTATCTGTCAGTGAAATTACCATGCTCCATCCTCTTCCGTAAATGACATTCTCACAACCTAGCAAGTTTAAATTATTCATTGTGTCTGTGAGCACTTTAAGAATTTATAAGCATTGGATGCATCAAGTGAATTGGTAGAGTTCAGCCTTGTTTCTTTGTAATAGCTGAATATTTGAGTTTTTTATGACCTATGTATATGTGCTTCCTGCAGAGTTAATATGAATTTTGATATCCAGAATATTTAGATTACGCTTGTATATTTAGTATCATAGATAAGTACAGTAATCTGTTTGTATTTTTTTTTTTATTTTTTTTAAATATATATTTGTGTGTCTGTGTGTGTATAGGTACTTGGTTTGGTTAATTTTGCTGAATCTCTACAGCATGGTTGGTATACTCTTGAATTATGTATTTTACAAAGAGGACTTAAAAGTATTGCCTGATAGTATGCGAAAGCCTCCAAATGTTTTAAATGGAAAAGGAGGGACACTTTAATTTCATGTGTATGAGTGGGGGTGTGACCAGAAGATGGGCTGTTTTTTTTTTATATTTTAGCAGCATAAATTATTATTAGTAAGATAAAACAAAACAATATGCCTTATCTACAAAAAAGATTTCTAGTTTAAAGACCCATAACTTTTCGTATTCTTGCTGTTGAGCTCTGGTATAGGAACACTGAGCTCCCACAAAAGAGGGACATTTGGATAAAAAAGAGCAGATGATTTGGGTCCTAAATAGGAACACTCTGGAGGCATGTACAGTCAGGTCCATAAATATTGGGACGTCGACACAATTCTAATCTTTTTGGCTCTATACACCACCACAATGGATTTGACATGAAATGTGATGAAGATGTGCTTTAACTGCAGACTTTCAGCTTTAATTTTAGGGTATTTACATCCAAATCAGGTGAACGGTGTAGGAATTACAACAGTTTGTATATGTGCTTCCCATTTTTCAAGGGACCAAAAGTAATGGGACAATTGGCTGCTCAGCTGTTCCATGGCCAGGTGTGTGTTATTCCCTCATTATACATTTACAAGGAGCAGATAAAAGGTCCAGAGTTCATTTCAAGTGTGCTATTTGCATTTGGAATCTGTTGCTGTTAACTCTCAATATGAGATCCAAAGAGCTGTCACTATCAGTGAAGCAAGCCATCATTAGGCTGAAAAAACAAAACAAACCCATCAGAGAGATAGCAAAAACATTAGGTGTGGCCAGATGAACTGTTTGGAACATCCTTAGAAAGTAAGAACGCACCAGTGAGCTCAGCAAAACCAAAAGACCCGGAAGACCACGTAAAACAACTGTGGTGGATGACCGAAGAATTCATTCCCTGGTGAAGAAAACACCCTTCACAACAGTTGGCCAGATCAAAAACACTCTCCAGGAGGTATGTGTATGTGTGTCAAAGTCAACAATCAAGAGAAGACTTCACCAGAGTGAATACAGAGGGTTCACCACAAGATGTAAACAATTGGTGAGCCTCAAAAACAGGAAGGCCAGATTAGTTTGCCAAACAACATCTAAAAAAGCCTTCACAGTTCTGGAACAACATCCTATGGAAAGATGAGACCGAGATCAACTTGTACCAGAGTGATGGGAAGAGAAGAGTATCGAGAAGGAAAAGAACAGCTCATAATCCAAAGCATACCACCTCATCAGTGAAGCATGGTGGTGGTAGTGTCATGGCGTGGGAATGTATGGCTGCCAATGGAACTGGTTCTCTTGTATTTATTGATGATGTGACTGTTGACAAAAGCAGCAGGGTGAATTCTGAAGTGTTTCGGGCAATATCTGCTCATATTCAGCCAAATGCTTCAGAACTCATTGGACGGCGCTTCACAGTGCAGATGGACAATGACCCGAAGCATACTGCAAAAGCAACCAAAGAGTTTTTTTAAGGGAAAGAAGTGGAATGTTATGCAATGGCCAAGTCAATCACCTGACCTGAATCCGATTGAGCATGCATTTCACTTGATGAAGACAAAACTAAAGGGAAAATGCCCCAAGAACAAGCAGGAACTGAAGATAGTTGCAGTGTAGGCCTGGCAGAGCATCACCAGGGATGAAACCCAGCGTCTGGTGATGTCTATGCGTTCCAGACTTCAGGCTGTAAGTGACTGCAAAGGATTTGCAACCAAGTATTAAAATGTGAAAGTTTGATTTATGACTGTTAATCTGTCCCATTACTTTTGGTCCCTTAAAAAGTGGGAGGCACATATACAAACTGTTGTAATTCCTACACCGTTCACCTGATTTGGATGTAAATACCCTCAAATTAAAGCTGGAAGTCTGCAGTTAAAGCACATCTTGTTTGTTTCATTTAAAACCCATTGTGTTGGTGTATAGAGCCAAAAAGATTAGAATTGTGTCGATGTTCCAATATTTATGGACCTGACTGTGGATTTGATGTGCCCCTGATGCAAAATTATTTAATTAATAAAGGTAGTTTCCTTGGGACCCTGACTGTGAATAACTGGAAATGCCTTATACAATTTATAAAAAAATTTTTTTTTGTTTTACATGAATTCGTATTTTTGGGGCTTGAGGACTTTCTAGCCCACCCTAAGCCTGAATCTCTTTCTTGACCCACCTTATTTCTCTGTCCTGGAAGCTCTCCTTCCATCTTATCAAGCATGGGTAAGAGATAGTGTTTAGTAAATGGTGGACCTTTATACTTGGACTCTCCTTTTTTTTAATATGTTTGGTGTGATTTTTAATTTTTTTGGAGGGGAGTGTGAGTATAAAATGAAGAAAACAAAACTACGAATTCAGCTTAAAACTGGTATTTTCTAAAATATGTAATATGTAATTAGAAATGAACTTTCTGTGTCATTTAAAGTTTAATTAACCACATAAGAAAAGAGACAATTGTCAGAGTTCTGAAATAAATCCTAGAATTTTGTATAGGTTTGCTCCACTATAATTTGCCCCCATACATATTATATATTCTTTTTTTTAAAGGACAGGGAGAGATTTCTTTTAGTATCAAATATGTTTGCCTAGCAAATTAAGAAAAAGTGAAATGTCAGAATTTAATGTAATTATTTTAGCATATTAAGTGAAACCAAAGAAAAATAACCCTAACTCAGAGAGATTTCCTAGCTCACACAGTACAGAGCTTTCTCTACTGACTGATTGCAGCATGAGAGGAAGATCTCTCTCTTGCATGCTGTCCCTGACAAACAGAGTGATTGGGCCGGACAGCTGGTAAAGTCCAGCAATGATCAGTCAGCAATGGGGGCATGCATGGAGACCCTATCGGGGACCTCTTAGACCCTATGAGTCTCCCTCTTTGTAGGGGCCTGCTCAGAATCACTGTGGCAGGATTTAGGGTGTTGTATGCAGCATTCACTTAAGTATGGCTTGGGCTGCATACCAATAAACAAAAAACCTAAATGGAATAGAATTTAAGTAGTGAGACAAGAGGGGCATGATCTATACACAAAAACTGCTTCGTTAAATTAAAGTTGTTTTGGTGCTTAGAGTATCCCTTGAAATAGATATCTATACTAATTCAGTTAGTAGAACAAAGCACAGCACTGTGGGTAACCAGGAGCCATAATTTAATGTTAAACTAATCCAAAATGGTTTAACGCTAAATGGAGGGACAGTGCCAGTGTCCCTGGTTATAGTGGTTATGGTTATAGTGTCTACAGTGTCCCTTCAATGCCATCTTGGGGTCCTGGAAAAATGAATAAACCATAAGATGGAACGTTGAGTGGTCTATGCACATCTTCAGAACACCTCCATGACCGTATTTTCCTCTAAAGCACAGTTTGCCATTGCGTATCCTGTGTGGATGCAAGTATGTGTATATATCTACGTATTACACTATTCAAAGATCTGTTTGTTTACCTTTCAAAATGATTTTGGACATGAATTTTAAAAGGTCATCTGGGATCACCCAGTAATTTATTGTTGCGTAGAGCCGTGTAGCAGGCCGCTGATTTGTAAGGTAGCTGCAGTGTTATTCTGATGCTCTCTTCCAAGCTTGCGGCATTAATGCAGTCGGTAATATATGTGGAAAAGTGACAGTGAAGATTCATGTTGTGCATTATGCATGAGGCAGTTTATTACTAGTCCAGCTCATTCTAATCCGCATACACAAAGTGACTGTTTGTTTATTCCCTGACTAGCATCGACCAGACTATTTTCTCAGAAGCTCAGATCTTTCGGGAGTAACTAACTTGCTATACTGCTTTGTCTAGTATATATCATCTCACTACCTTGTCTGTAAGGACAATGCAGACTGTAGTAATGATGTTAATAGTTTTTTAAGTGTTCTTGCATAGCAAGACCACTTAATGTTATCTCATTAAATAGACAGGGTAATAACTGTAATAACTGCTT